TTAAAAGCTGATGCGATATTAAAGTAATCTAATATAAAAACAGCACAAAAACCCACCCCAAACCAAAACAAAAAACCCACAAACAAACAAAAACCCAACCCAAAATCCAAAACCTCCACCAAAACACCCCAAAGTGAAGTTTCCCAAGATGCTTTTGACACAAAACTATTTAGGAACCATAAAGTTCCATGAGTAGGATCTGTGATAAAGCTAGCAGCTACTCTAAATTTCTGAAGTTGACTCTCTGAATCTAAACATGTGTAACAGTACCTTGTGTGTGACTGACATGCTCTACAGTTTTGTAAATTAACTCTTAGATTTAGTAATCCACACTTCCAAAATGGTTAGAATCACATTTCCTTTGCATAATGAGCATTTCATTATCAGACAACTTTCTAGAGCGCTTTTAGTACCTCTTCATCTTTTTCAAAAGTTGTCCTGGTGGCCAGATACTGTGCATTCTAAGGCTGAAGGATTTTCATATGTTGCTTTCACAGTGTTCTTGAACTACCAGTCTTGACATTCAGACATACTTTAATTGATGTGTGATGACTCTTCGTAATCTAATAATGCTTTTGCCTAATATAATTTTGATCTCTGACAAAATTTTAAAATAAAATTATGCTATCTAATGCTAACTAAACAAAACCAAGGGGGATTTAATGCAAGTAGGTTTTTTGTTTTAAATAATCAAATGAGTTTTTAATCTTTTTAAGCAACAACTGTAACAGTTGTTAAGCTTAGTTTGTAGTTTACAAAATTCTTCCTTGCTCATTAAGTTGTGTTAAAGCAGCTTAATTGCATTACTGGCACACTGACGTTCTGACCTGTGAGCCTTTTGGTTTGCTGTTCAAAAGGTTTGTTGAAATTGTTAAAATTACAGTAAAAATGTAGTGGGTTGTGAGGTGGGAAAGGGTGCAGGGGGCTTTTTTTGTTTGTTTGTTTCTTGTTTTGGTTTTGTGCAGTCGAGTTTTTTTATTTTTCTTGTTGACAAAGGGATGGTTCAGCAATGTATAATGAGAAAAAATGCTCAGTGATGCTGTATTTAGTCTCATATCTTGCTGCATGGGAATTTTATATGTTTGCAAGGTATTTTGCTGCCCTCTCTTGGTAGAGCGTTTGTATTGTAAACAATGCTCACCTTGTTCATAATTTTTATTTGTACATTTTAAAAACTGGTTTTATACCTTTTATTTCCTGTAAAAATGGAAAATGATGATTCTTTTACTAAAAAATGAAATGTTAAATTCTGAGTCACTCAATATTTATTAAATAATCAGTATTATTTTATTCGAGTCCTGCATGGATGAAAGTGCTTATCTCATTGCCTTTCATCTGTATCTCATTAGATAGCCAATACAATTTGATCATGTTGATTGGTGATTGAAATGTATTTTGCCTCAGATTAAGTTTAAACACTTAGGTGCATTTTGTTATGACACAAGGGTGTTGTGTGTCTTTATAGCTCTGTGAAGAGAAGAACCCCAGGAAAGCTTCGGGAATGTGTTAAGATGTATTAGGAGAATCAGTCAATCCCAAACACAGTTTGTTTTAGGCGTAGCTACATCTTGAACTTTAGCTAAAATTGTTAAATTTAGCTAAAATAGCTAAAATTTAGCTAACTGCACACAGTTACATGCTATATAAAGACAGAGTATTCCTTTATATATGCTCTCATCACCAATTCCTCTGTGTATATAGTACATAATATACACACGTGCACTTACCCTGTCACTAGTTAGAAAAGCATTAAGTAAAACCCTTCTGGGCCAGGGCAAACACCTGGAATACTTCCCTCTGCTGCTCTCCTGTCTTCTGGGCATCCCTTGGTTCAACAGCTTCTTGTGCATGATGCCATTTTTTTTCTAAATGGCTTCTCATGGTTGTTGGTTTTATTCTATGGGCTTTTTCTTATTCTTTAGTTGAATCACTCTGGCAAGGAGTTCCACAGCTTGTCTGCCTGATGTTCAGAGGAGCTCTTTTCTTTTGAGCTTTGCTGTTATTAGTTGCATCAAATCTTTCCTCTCAGCTGTTGTAACAGGATGTCCTCATCACTCAGGATTTTGTAGAGCTCCAGTTGTCTTTTCCGGAATGCAGAATTCCAACTTCTTTAATTATTTTTAAGTGGAAAGTGTTTGGTACATTTGATCACAGTGTTGTTGCTCTTTGAATCTTTTCAGTTCTGCTGTTCTCCCCCTTTTGATGTGGGAACAGAGATTCAGGGTTTGTGAAGCAAGATGGTGCTGTTTTCTGGACTGCTCTGTAATCCTTTCCTGATGTCTAGCATCTGGTTTATGTTTTTGAACAGAACACATCAATGAATGGATGTTGTCACAGACCTGGGTGTTGTAACCCTAATATCTCACTCCTGAATCAACAGTCAACTCAAAGTCCAGCGTTTTGTATATGAATTTAGCAGATTTCCCCTCTCTCTCCCCTGCTTCACTTCAGTTATATCTCAGTTGAGTTTTATTTGCCAGGTTAGTTGAAGTGGAAGATCCATCAGTAGTTCTTCATAATCAGCCATCATCCTTGCTATCCTAAATAACTTAATATTTTAAGCAGCTTAAAGAAGAGCACCTTGCTGTTTCTTTTCCAGATTGCTTATGAAAATATGAATAGCAGAGCTCTTCATATGGCTTTATTGCAGAACTGCCTTGGTGATGCTGGTCTTGTGTGAGGAGTGACCTATATTGAGGTTCTATTTCTGTAAAGAAATGAAGAACTTGAGCAAAAGAAATTTTTTGGCAGTTATTTGATGTGTTGTTAAAACCCAGTGAATTGATACCTTCTAGTATTATAAACTAAATGTAACATGAAATTATTATAACCCCAAATGCCGTATCTGCATTTTAGTTTTAGGATTTATAGGTAGAATATGCTCGTTTCTGGCAAATAAATGAAAAAGAATGAAGACAATAAACCTGCTTTGGAGTCTGTCATTGTTGACTTGTGCTCTGAATAGCCTTTTAGCAACAAATGTGTGCACATTCACCTCTCCTTTAGGGGAAAAAAAGAGCTTAAGATGAGCAAGCTCAAGTTAGCTATGATGAAAACCCTGCTTTCCTTAAATAATAGATTTTATCTGAGGGGGAAAAGAGTATATAGGAAAACTAGTTTTGCACAGTACAGAGCAAGCAAAAATGTAATTTAAAAAATACTATCTCTTTTGGAGCTTACATTTCTGTGGTTTATATTACATTCTCTTAATATTTTATAGAAATCCTCTACTGGTTCCAAATATGTATGGGTCAATCACCAGACTTTTTAGTGGACTTCAGAGGCTAAAAATCAAACATTTAACAAGCTGAATTGCAGTTCTGGTTTCATGGTGACTGCTATTACAGCTTTGTTACATGGGAGAGCAGGAGCTGAGGGAAGGACTGATTAAAGGAGCATAACTATTTTGCTGCTCCTGAGGATGGTGGGTAACAAGTTCAGTAGGGAAAAAGTCCTTTTGCTGTACATAACTCAAGTTTTATTGCTCATAGCAGTTTCAATATTTCTAATTTATTTTTGTTTATAAAGGAAAAACACTGGTCTGAAAAATGGGTGGACTTCATAATAGTTCATGGGCTAGAGTTTCCAATTATGCCAATATTTTCTAGGCATGAAAAGGAGTGAAACAGGTGAAGTTCCCTTCATTTTCAGAATTCAGTTTATATGACTCTACACATTGAGTATAGCATTGCCAGTGGCCTGTCCATGAAAAGTGCCCAGTGGTGTAGTATGGAAAACATGTATCTGGCAGCTTGAGGTGTCAAAATTCAGGTCTCCTTTTTGCTTCATAGTTAAAAGCTGGCTGTGCTTTGTATTTGTTGAGAAGCTCTCTTCAGTTTGCATCTGAAGCATGGAAGAAAAAATGACTGTGTGATTTCTATACAAGATTTTTTTTTTTTTTTTTGGAAACAAGAATTCAAAGAGAACAACAACTTATAACATTTTCAGTGTTATGTCCTGACAGGAACATACTGGCCACAGCTGGGAGGAGGATGTGCCTGTTTTTTGGTTTAGCAGCGAGTTATCCCCAAGAGATGAAAAATCTTTAAAAATCAAAAAGGTGTATTTTAGCCAACTAGGAAGATTTATTTATCTTAAAAACAAACAAACAACCTAAAGAAAGTGCAAAACAAGTTGAGGAGAAAGAATCAAAAAAGTGGTATATAGCTTTTCCCACTATATTTTTGTAGGAAAGTCCTTTCAGCTAACCCAGAGGCTTTGGCAGAGACTTGCAAGATTCCTCCTTACCCTTAGGAAGTTCTTTATATTTCTTCTGCCTGGCTTATACTTGCCTTCCCCCTCTCTGCTTTCCTTTGCAAAGACTCCCATGAGCTGGAAAACCTGCCAGCTCCCTGCAGTGTTTCCTTGGCTGCTGCACCCTGGATTTTCTTTGACCATGTCCAGTTTTCCCCTGCCTTCAGGGTGTTCTCGTGTCGTTGCCAGTTAAATTGTATGTGTGCATAGTACTATGCAAGTGGAGACGGACATGTCCATGTTTTGATGCTTCTGTAAAATTTGGATAAATACTAGCTGACTAGTTAATCCAAAAAACGTAGTTTATGTGGGGGTAGGTTTTTTTTAAATGAGTATTTGTGTTATTACTGTTTGACTGTACTTTTATTCACTGCTTCGGGTATAAAATACCGTGCAAAGAACAAATGTAACTCCATATCCCAAACTGGGAAGATTGTATCAGTAAATTAGCAGCAGCAGCTTTCTATTCTTACTTCTTGAAAGCTGTTTCTCAGAATGTTCAATTAGTTAAGAGGAAATTGGATATGTGATTTTTTTTTTTTACTGTAAACATAATAAAACTCTTATCCAGCTCAGAAAAATGACGCATAGAATTAAGAATTTTATGTAGGTACAAATGCTGTGCTTTTGTTTTTGCTGGTACAAAGATTGTTGGTTAGTTTCTCTTCTTGTCCTCTCAACAGTTGCTTCACATTTTTGGTTTTCACTTTGCAGCTTAGTCTTTTTCCTTTTTTTCACAATTGTAGACAGTTGCAAGAGCAACAGAGGCAGAAGGAGCTGGAACGGGAAAGGCTGGATCGTGAACGAATGGAACGGGAGAGGCTGGAGAGAGAGAGGCTAGAAAGGGAAAGACTTGAAAGAGAGCGCCTAGAGCAGGAGCAACTGGAGAGAGAACGGCAAGAAAGGGAACGGCAAGAGCGCCTAGAAAGGGAGAGACAAGAGAAGGAGAGGCAGGATCGAGAAAGACTTGAACGACTTGAACGGGAAAGGCAAGAAAGAGAACGACAAGAACAGTTGGAAAGGGAACAGTTGGAATGGGAAAGAGAGAGAAGAATTTCAAATGCTGGTAAGAATTTCAAAACCTGAGTGTGTTCAACTATCAGACTACTCTTTATGTGTTTTGGTGATGGAGTGTGAGAGGAGCAACAAAGGGCAGTGAGTACAGTTTTGTGACAACAGGCTTTTATTTGCTGGAATTCCTTTTTTTTATGGCAAGAAGTCCAAGAGCTTTGACTTTCCTGTCATAATTTTCCATTAACCCTGAAATAAATTTTTTTGCACTATTTGCTCACTCCACTGCCGTACTCTGATTGCTTGAAGAACTTGAAGCATATTGGACGCCCTCAACATTGGTTAAAGTGTGATGAGTTAAACTTTCTAAATACCTTATCATTGCTTGCTCTATTCAACAAGATGTATTTGCAGTGCATAATTTGGGAAAAAACCCCTAAACATGCCAGGTTGACTGTGTTAACATAGAAGGTATGTACCCATATAAGGCAAAGTAATATTGGAGAAAAGCTTCTCAGTCTGAAGTCTGGCTTAATTTATCATTGTAGTAACATTTCGGTGAAATGTATTGTATGTGCTTGTAGATAAGATAATGCAGTGCCTGTGGAAATGTATCCAGTGATGACTGAAAGCTTTCTCATTTTGGTAATATAATGGAACATTAGTCAAGTGCTTGGTTGTTCTTTAGTAACAAACTCAATTTGCATAAGTCAGCTCATGGTAGAAGTCAAGGAATACTGTGTAAGAGCTAGTCATTTTAGAGCAGAGGATTTTATGGGTAGTTGTATTCCCATCACTTTCAAGATGGAGCTTTTTCTGGGGAATAGAAAGATGATACTTGCTGCCTAGGGTAGGAATTTTGTTAGTGGAGTTGAAACAAATGTTAAGATCACTACACTTGCTTGCAGTTTGCAACCAAATACGAAGATAAAAGCTCATAAAACACTGATTACTCAACCCTATATCTAATCCATCTCACAGATGGGATTTGAGAAAACTTTCTCTGGAACATACTTGTAAATTCAAATGTTGGCACAAAAATAGTTGGTAAGATTTAAAAGCACCTGTTGATAATATGTGAAACTTTCCTAACAGTATTTTCACTTGTGCCTAATCCTCTGGTACTAACTGTAGTCTACATTTATACATTTTGTTTGAATGCTGGTTTTGTTGCTTCATTAGCTCCCTTTTTCTCTTTCTCCTTTTTTATCCTGCCTTTGCTGCTGCTTTCCATCTTCTGTCCAGCTCCATCTTTCGACAACTCCCCGTATAGCACTTCACTTCCTGAATACTCCAGTTGCCAGCCTCCTTCAGCACCTCCTCCATCATATGCAAAAGCAGTCTCAGCACCAATGTCAGAGGCCACACCGGAGTACGCTGTAGTGACTTCTGCACCACCGACTTCCACTCCCCCTACACCGCCTCTAAGGCACTCTGCATCACGTTTTGCTACATCTTTAGGCTCAGCTTTCCACCCTGTTCTCCCCCATTATGCTACGGTTCCTCGTCCGCTGAACAAAAGTTCTCGGCCCCCTTCTCCTGTCAATGCCATGGCGACTTTGCCTCCAAATACAAAGCCTGTTGCCTGGTCCGCACCCAGTTTTGCCCCTCTCCCCCCATCTCCTCCAGTAATGATAAGCAGTCCACCAGGCAAAGCTACTGGTCCGAGACCTGTCCTCCCAGTGTCAGCTTCTAATCCGGTGACCCAAATGTCCACGTCTCCCACGGCTCCTAACGGGCTTCCTGAAAACCTGGCTTATCCGGTTCCTTCACCTTCTACCTCAGGTCCAACGCCGCCTCCGCCACCTCCTCCCCCCCCACTGCCTTCCCTTCCGCCTCTGTCACTCTCTGGACCTCAAGCTTCTCCTTCTCCCAACTCCCCGAATGCCTCGACTCCCTCATCCAAGCCTAGTGTTCTCCCTTCTCCCTCTGCAGCTACCCCTGCCTCTGTTGAGAACTCTCTAAACTCTGTGCTGGGAGACTCCTCTGCTTCTGAGCCAGTCTTGCAGGCAGCCTCTCAGCCGATTGAACCTACGACCCAGCAGGGTAAGGCTTTCTGTTATTGCTACTAATGCGCTAAGCAGGAACGCACTCGAAACCAATTGGTGTCAAAGCCCCTAACTGCCCCCAGGCATTAATACGATGCTTCCAAAGTTGCAGTGATCTTAATACCACAACGAAATACCGTTTGGAAAACTGGGGTAAGGGAAACTTGAAAGCTCCTGTGCGCAAGAGCCGGCGTTCTGTGGCCTGTCATAAGAAAAAGTCCGATTTCTTAAGCTCTCACCTGTCTGCATCTGAGCTTGTCAAGTGTTTGCTTGGTAAATATTGCACTGTTAGTTTATTTGGAATGAGGTGTTAACAGGCAGCATCATTAGTTTCCTCACGGTAGCCAACACAGAAGAACACGTGTGCGGCCTTGGACTTTAAGTGAGGAATTATTCAAATTTAGAAAGTAACATGTAACACCTACAGCATTTCCTTTTGGACAGTGATTGTATTTGGATACATGGCTGTATGTGCACACATATATAGATAGGTCTTCTGTGGTATTCTATCAGCGTAGCTAAAGCGACTTTAGACATAAAGTTCGATTAAGCAGGTGACAGTCTTAATGGACGCTCCACCAATGTGACAGACATACGTGTTTTACATGGGTCTAAATGTCTTTGTTAACCTGAATCCTGCTTTTATATTGATTTTGTAGATTTAGATCTTTGTACATAACTCTGCAGTAGCTGAGCTAAAGGGATGGGCAGAGGGGCTCCTGGGGGATAAGCAGCCTGTGGCTTAATCACACACAAGCCATGCAGAGTAGATCCTCTTTATACCCTCTTGTCTTAAATGAAGATGTGAGCTACTCTGGGATGGAGTGGAAATAGGGTGAACAGCCTCACTTCTAGTATGGAATAAAAGTGTGCACTTGGATGGTGAGTGATGCCTAGAGAGTTTAAAAGGCTTTTGAATTTATGCAGTAGTTAGTAGACTACGAAACCAGGCAGACTTGTATGTGAAATTCCTGCCCTTAGAGACTGCTTAAGATAGTTGTGCAGCATTTTTAGTACCTTATGGCAGTTTGGATAAGATGGGGAGGGATGTGCAGAGCTATTGTCTTAGTCACAATTTCTTAAATTCTTCTTATAATAATAACGCAGTGATCATCAGAATATTACTTTTTCGAAATACATTTTGTATTGGATATCAATGTGAATTTAAAGCACTAAAAGAATGATACATAAAAAATAGAAGAGCTCGTTCTCATCAGCTTGAAATATGTCAGTCTTCTAACTCACCAGTTAGTGTTTGTATTAAATTATTAAAGTTGATTAGTGGAATGTTTTTTAGAAGAAAGATTTATATATAGCTTAGAAATTAGCATTGATACTCAAGCAGTTTAAGGGCTCAGATTGGGTGATGTGTTAAATGCTTTTTAATACAATGAAAGGTCACTCTGTGTTTAGCACTATGTGAACACACAGTATTGTTCCTACATGGTACGATGCTCGTGCCTTACTTGACTCTTTGCCTGTTTCCTGGTGTAAAGTTCTTGGTTGCAGCACGGAACCTGACTGGAGGGGTTTCCTATCTAAATGTCTCTGAAACTGTCTGATCTCTCATACTATACTATGTAATATTTTTAGTACATTGAATAAGAATGTTTGTCTCCTGCTGAAACTTGCAGTGTTTTCTTGCCTAGTATCTTACCAGTTTTGGTGTTTCATGCACTGAGCAAAAGAACCACCATTTCAATGGAAATAAGACATTTCTTTTCTAAGTCCTTAATGTATTCTGTTTGTTTTCTCTTTGATACTAGGTGGTGTCCAAGGACCACCAGCACCTCCTCCTCCACCTCCCCTACCCCCTGGCCCAGCTCAGTCTTCAGTAGCAGCCCCACCTCCTCCTGGCCCACCACCGCCTCCTCCACTTCCACCTTCAGGGCCTCCGCCACCACCACCACCGCCTCCTCCACTTCCTAGCCAAGTTCCTCCTGTTCCCCTTCCACCTCCTGCTCCTCCCCTCCCAGCCTCTGGATTTTCAGCGGGGTTCGTGTCCGAAGATAATCGCCCTTTAACTGGACTAGCAGCTGCACTTGCTGGAGCCAAACTTAGGAAAGTCTCACGGGTAAATATAACTTCCGTTTCATTTTCCAGTTCCTGTCTCTAAATTCTGTCTTCCTGAACCGGTTGTAACTTTTGTTCAAGATTAATAGCAGTATCAAGACTTTTTGGGTAGGCTTAATTAATTATTAAAAAAGAATTACAAGATGTGCTACCAGCCCATCACATTCTTTATGCAGTTGTGTCTTTCCTGTATGTGAACTCTGCTGATTTCATTAAGTCAGCTCTCATTCTGTTTGCACATCTGCTGTTATTTTGTGTACTTTGAAGGGTGAAGACTCCTCCAGTTCAAGTGGAGGAGGAGGAGGCTCTGCTTCATCTGCTTCATCTAAAACAGATGGTGGCCGTGGAAATGGACCACTTCCCTTGGGAGGCAGTGGGTTGATGGAAGAAATGAGTGCCCTGCTGGCCAGGAGGTAAGGTTTGTGCTGTGCTCCAGCTGCTTGGTCATCGTAGAGGTAGGATTTGGGGTGCCTGTTTGCAGCTGGCTGAGGATCAAATAAACATCGGCTTGCTCATGAGGTTGATAATGTTTCATGAATACCCATTTTTATTTGAGTGTAATCCAGTACTTCTGTACAAGTCTTTGTGCAGCAGTAGGAGAGGGGATACAGACTTTAAATTGCACAGTTGTGTTCGCCAGGAGTGTGTTGTCCTTGAAAGTATTTTGAAAGTACCTCTTTAAACACACTAATTTTCAAGTATCTATCAGGCTGTGGAGGTCTTTAGTTGCAGTAAGTGACGTTCTTTCATCTTAAAGCCATGATGGTCTTGTTAACTTTTGTCTCTGTTATAGGAGAAGAATTGCTGAAAAGGGATCAACAGAACCAGAGCAGAAAGAAGATAAAACTGTGAGTTGAGAAATTTTATCTACTTCTCATTACTCATTAAAAAGATTGAGAGAGATTCAAATGGTGTACAAGAGCTTATTTATACTTTACTATATATTTCAACACACACAACCACTATTTTGTAAAGTGCCTAGTGCTTGCACATTTTCTACATACATTTTAAATCTATATAAAAAGTGAAATAAATATTTAAACAGTTGAGACTGACTCTTGTGAGTCTAACACTCCTCCCTCCTTTCTCCTTCTCTCCTCCATTTTAATCAGGAAGAATCAGAATCTTCAACTTCTAAAGTTTCTTCAACAAGCACACCTGGTAAGTAGCATGGGTTTATGAGCACTGGGGCTCTGTAATGCTACAGTCTAGTGACAAATCTCAGCAGCTCTGCTGAATTTTGGAACCTGCTTCTTCTCCATAATTACAACCTTGAATTTTGCTGTAGAATGGGTCCTGGTTGAGAAGGTGACTGATAAAAAGAATATAAGTGAATAAGGAATATAAATGTATGGAGTTGAATTCTTTATCCCTGATTCCTCTGCTGAGGAGTCCTAGGAGCTAAGTGTGTCCAGGTGAAAATAACTGGAAAACTTAATATTGAGATACAGCCAGTAGTCTAAAGAAGTTAGACTGCAAGGCAATAAATGACGTAACACAAATGAAGTTTTTACACCCCCCTCCCTTTTTTTTCTCTCTCCTTAGAAGTTTGCTTCATTCTGTTAAACCCAGGGATGAATTTAGCCTTAGGGAAATTAATATAGGACCAAAAGAGGGAAATGAAAGCCAGTAGAAGTGGTTCCTTTAATTGGTTGTGATGATAAGAAGCCTCATCAAACTTGTTAATGTTAGATGCATTCAGAATTTAACCATTTCTTTCCAGTGGAGAAATTTCACTTCCTTTCTTGATGTGAGATGCTCTGGTAATGCTGTGCCTCATCGCTGGAATGTATCTTTAAAATGTTCTAAAAGGAATGCTTAGCATCCCCTTGAGCAAGCTGCAGCCATAGCCGAAGTTACTCAGTTTTGCAGATATGGCTAAAATCCCACTAAAATAACTCCTATGGCAGGACAAGCCCTGAAGACTGGTGTGTAAAAACAAGCTTCAGAGTTATTACCAGCACTGGCAACCTTTATTTGGCTGGGTCACAGGCTATGCTAGCAGACTTCTGCAATTCAGATACTCTTCTCAGTATCTTGCTGCATCCCAGAAAACTTTCTGGGCAACATGAGACTCTGAAAGGGCATGTCTGCCTCTCTGCTTGCCCAGCTTAACAGATCTGAGCAATATGAAAGAAAGGGAACAAACTCCAAACCTGAAATATAGACTGATCAGTAGCACATTGAAGTCCTGAGTTAAGTAATGATTGCAAGTAATAATATCTCACACTACAGAAAGTTCCTTTAGTTTTGAGTCTATTATTTTGAAAGGGGAAAATGATATATTACAACTGTAGAAGTATCCTTTTGGGGACAAGACTTTGGAAAATAAATATCTCGTTGCTGAAAAGTTATTCTAATTGTGTGAGGTTGTATCATACCTTCTGTAACTAAATTGAAATTGGCACTGAATTAATTTTATATAATTCATTAGCAGCTCAGGAAAACTCCTTTAGCTTTAAATCCTCTTCCTCGAGTATTTGAAGCTGACTGGTTACGTTTCCAAAATTCCATATTTCACAACTGAAAGTAATCAGATACATAAAGTATAGGCAGACCTTCTCCCAGTTGGATTAAGAATCAAATGGCATTTACAGTGTCTAGGACACATGTGAGACTCTAAGATGCTCTCACAACATAACTGGTAGTATGACTAAAAACTACCAGATGAATACAAAAGATGGGTACAAAAGGAGGCAGCTTAATATGAAAGAACTAATGCAATGTAGGAACAACAGCAAAAAACCAACCTGCTGACTTAAGTTGCCAGATACTTGACGTTTCCTCATGTAAGTTACACAAGGAATGGAAAAAGATTGTTTTTAATCTCCTCACTATGTTTTCCAGAACTAACAAGAAAGCCTTGGGAAAGGACAAATACAGTGAATGGAAGCAAGTCACCTGTTATCTCCAGGTACTCCCCTCAGCTGTCTTTTCCTTATGTTTGCAGTTGCACATGCTGCTGAAGATGGTGGGCTAAAATAGCAAAGCTCACCTTAATAGTGTTAAAAGTAAAATGTGTGGGTTTAAAATTACTGCTGCGAAACTGCTTTTTGGCAGTTCTAAGTAGGAATCAAGAGTCACTTTTGGAGAATGCTAGTAAGTGAAATTTTTGACAGTAAAATCAAAATTAAAACTCAAAAATATTCTTTAACAATTGCTAGTATATAACTTGAATTACTAAGTTGTATATGTGCCTATAGCAATGTTTAATTTTTTCTATTTATTTGAAGTCTGAAATTTCCTGCAAGGGAAAACCAAACTCAGTGCTGCAGTTCACACATTCAGTAGTAAATCTAGTGAATAGGTGTTCTCCCTTCTATCACTGTGCTAGTCATAGAATGGTGTTGTAGATATTTAAGCTATCTTGGTAAGATTTGATTCTGTGACAATTTTCGGTAGCTGTCTCATACCAATCTAAGGAAGTCTGTCATAAAAGACTACATCCTTCACTGCATTAACCAGCCTTTGGTAACTTGTCAGCTGGAACTTCAGTAGGTAGTGGGTGTTTCAGTAGGCATTTCAGTAAGTGAAATTGTTGCTTTAGGTATTTTTTTTGGAGGTATGTTTAATTGCCATTTACATTAAGCAGAAGGCTTGGGGTTCACTTAGAATTCCTGTATGTTGTGTGTACAGAGGTTAAAGGATTCTGAACTGTGATAATCTGAAAGAATTACCTGAATTTCTTGAGAGAAAACAAAAGAACATGTTAAACTTTAGAATGCTATGTTTGAAATTACTTGAATTCTCCTTAGAAGTCTGGTCTGTTGGAAACAGCTATACAAGATTTGGTGATTATAGTATTAAAAACAGCTGTTCTTTAAGTGACCTCACTTGTAGTTGAGTTTGCCAGTTCAGTTCTAAAATGCAACACTAAACATTCTCAGCCTGTATCAATATCCATGTCTGTCCTTCTTAAGTAACTTAATCCCAGGAGCTCAAGGTGTCTGCAGCCTTGATTCTGGTTGCTTGCTTTGTTTTTTGTCAAAAAGCAGGTGACATTGGTGATGATGTTCTCTCTGTTACACTGTCAGTGTAACAAAATGCTGCATTGCCTTTGGCTTTGACTGTCCACTGCCTTCTTCCCCCTTACCCCCCAGCAGGTCTTACCTGCTTTAACCAAGGTCTCTTGTACTGATACCTCATTCTGCTTCAATGTGTGGCATTGAGGGGGAACTTGTCACAGAAATATTTTGTGTAAGGAATCCTAAAGAGCATTTTAGATTTCATATTGTTTAAAACAGTTGCTGACCTGTCCCTTTGGCTGTAGATACCCTATGGATAAGCAGTTGAAGAAAGTGAAGGGATTAATAAGTAGGGCAGCTGTCCACGTCGGACTCTTTTGGGGAGTCTGGGATGTTCTTAAGTCTTGTTTCTACCTGACCCTGCAATAGCAGGTTCTTGTAAACTGTTTTATGCATCTAATTTCACTGATCTTTTTTCAACTGGTGAAATTCAGAGTTGCTGAGGTCTTTTAAAAAAATATTTTCTGACCTAGAGGAGTACAGGACTACAGAGGATTTTTGAGATTTCTCTTGAGATGCATTGAGACAGTCTCTCCATCAAGCTTTTGTCTTCACTCACCCAGTGGAAAATGTTGATAGAATTCAAGTTGATATGGGCCTTCATTGGTGTATACTCTAAAAATACTTCTAAAATAAGAATTCTGTGTTTATTGAACATCAGTATTATTTTCCAATGCTGTCATAACCTACTTGCAAGTGCCATAAGCGTATACTTTAAGATTGCTGGTACAGCTTTCTAGTCAGGGTTTACAAGTTGCTTTGCCAGGATGAGGAATGTTTCACAGACCAAGAAAGAAAAGGTGTCAGAAGAGGTCTCCCTTGAATATCCTTGCATTTTTCTTAATTCTCTACGCTTGCTAAGTTTGTCTCAGCAAGCAGCTTGTTAAACTTTCTTTGAGTGAGTTAATAAAAGGGTGTTACTATTTGAAACACTAGTACTGTGTTTGCCAAAAGGGGATATCTTTCACCTGGTAGGGCTTGAGAACCTGCTTCCAACCTCTACAGAGAGGATATGAGTCATCTACAGAGGTTAAGCAAAGTGTGCTTAAGAAACTGGCAAGTAAGCGAAATTTTCTCTTCAGAGCTTCCAAACAGGTTGACAATGAAGTTGTTGTTATTCAGAATGAATGTTCTAAGCATTTTAAAATAAGCTAGTGTCCTGTTTAAAATCAGGCCTTTTTTTTTTGTAGCAAACCGAAAAGACTTAAGCTTTGTGCTTTTATTTCCTGAAACATTCAAATAGAACTCTTGGACCTACTGAAACTCCATGGTGTTTGAGGTGCTAAAACTGAACAAAATTAAGACCTATTATAGCTTGTTAAGGTAGTGTTTCTCCCCTTCGTAGACGGGAATCTCCGTGGAAAAATCTGCTTGCTTCTGAAAACAGGTTCTATGATTCATTAAACAGGTATCATCCTGTTGGGATTTGAGACTTTGTAATAACCACTTTGACCAGTTCAGGGTTGGACTTTTTTTACATGGATTGGTAATCACCACACTCACCATCTCTTCACATTTTGTTTGTCCAGTTGAGCCCATTTTTGCACTTGTTAAAGGCAGATGGTGTCAAAGGCAAATTGAGATGGCTTAAGAACCAGATATGAATTCATATTAAATACTGGTTTTCTGGCAGTCTCCACCTGCAAAGATGCCAATTCCTGTTGAATGCCAGGATTTAGTGAACCGTTTGTGGCATTTTCAAAATGGTTTTCAAAACTGTAAAGTTTAGATACACAGGAATAGCAATTACTTTTCCGAGTGAGTTTTCACATTTGCTTTTTGATAGAAGACTTGTTAAACATAAATTAATGTTTCTATTTGGAACATACTCACAAGTTAGAGTCAACATCATGTATTTTTTTTTCTGTAGATCTAAGTTTCACTCTCTAGTGGTACTCATAAAGTACTGACATTTAAACCTTCCTTAGGAGAACTTTCCACAGGTAGAAGTGTCACAGACCCCTCAGAATTACTGAGTCAGATTCCAGCTTTGCTTTTTGTGAAGGCACTCACTGTGGTGATTACTTAATCTTTTGTATGAAAAGTTCCCCTTTTAGCTACTTATCTTGGGTGGTGTATTCTGCATGTTGGCATGAAAAAAAATCTTTACCTTGCATGCTTGATTTAAGGTGTGTTAGGGACTGTCAGAGTTGCCTCACTGTCCTGTTAGGCAATGCTATGAAAAACCACACGGGAGAGCTCTTTAGCTGTCTATGGATCGAATGGTTGGGATGATTTATTGACTGAATTTCAGTAGTTAACATTTTCCTTAATGGCAACTGCATTCACTGTTAATCTTTCTTCTGAGCAAGTTGAAGAGGGAGGAAAGACAGGTAGATTTTCCTGATAATAGAAATTATTTAGTTTACAAGTTGCTGTCTTTCAATATTTAAATTAAGAATGTCTTGCATTTCGGAAAGCAAAAATGGAAGACATTCTTAAGACTGAGGGGTAGAGTTTTATAAAGAAGCTTTCCTGTTGAGATTTTTGACAGCAGGAGTAGGTCATGTAGGGTGGGTAAAGCTGACTTTTTATTCTGAAGCTCTGAAGAAAAAAAACCATGAAGCAGTCGTTTTCTTTGAAGTCATCTCATTAAAACATTAAAGTCATAAGTTATTTTTTAAAAATTTTAAAAAATATTTAAGTATATTCTTGTTTGGACTTTTCTATTAAGGCAGTAGGTGCCTGTTATCAATTGCCAGGAGCTGTATTTAAGAGGATACTGGGGGTTTTTTCAGTCATGTTTGTTAGATGCTGTAATACCACAGTGCGTGGGAACAAAGTGGTAGTCAATGGAAGTGATCAGAAACTATATATGAAGAATCTGAAAAACTCATACTATTCTGCTTGGAGTAAGTCGGGGTTCACGGTTTGAGGTGTAAACTGCAACTAACACTTCAGGTATCAGATACTTCATGAAACAGCAATTGCCAAAGATCTCATCTTGATGAATATTTTAGAGCATGGAATTCTTCCATTATGAACTAAGCACTGTAAATACGTAAAGAGTTTTGTAAAAGATCCTAAACCGTGGTTTGCCTTCATAGCATTAGCACAGTAGATTTTGTGGTGGTTGCAAGGTGAACTCTATTTTTCAGCTTCTTTTGCTATCAAGTTATTCAGTATTTCATCTTTTGTCTTACTTGGTGGATTGTGTATTTCTTTTTGGGGTGTTTCAAGCAATACTAACGTTAGCAGTTTCTCTCTTGGAACTTACATTTAAACAGTGTAGGCTTAAGTCTTAAGAGCCGTAGCAATTGAGTATTGGGATCCCACATGAAGAACAAGTATCAAACCAACATTTTGGTGTGTGCAGTCTTTTCTGTTTGGAGTCATGTTTTGAGTGTTCTTGCTTCAGGTAGCAGCTCCAGAAAATATTCCTGTCAGGTTGTAAAAGTCATCAAAACAATCCAGTGTGGTGTTCATTCAGCTCTTATTGAACAAAACCCATGTAATAGGATAACTTCTCTGTGAATGAACTGCTGTCCTGTAAAGGAAGATGTATGAAAGCTGAAGGGTAGCGATTTGATAAAACAAACTAGGAAATATATGCATATATATGTTTGCTATTCTTTTTCTTTTGAATGAGAACACAACTTTTTTTTTTTTTGGTTAGCTAAATTAAAAATATACAAATAAATGAGAACGCAAACATGGGATACACTGCTTGTGTCCTTCACGCATTCTGCTTTTTTCTGAAAAAAAGTAGGTTTGTAGTGCATATTCAAAAGAAGATAAAGCACAGAATTGTGCCTTTCTTACTGTTTGTTTTCTTTTTTTTTGTTCCTGTCCACCTTCCATTGTAATAAATAAGGCTGCACCATCAGGTGACAAATCCAGAAAAGTGCAGTGCTTAATGAATTTCTCCTGTGTAGGAATTTTGAAGTGACACACTGAGTTTAGGCCAGGCTTTTTTTGTTCAGTGAAATAGGTCCCAGTTTAGTCTACTCATACCCTGCCCTTCCTCAAAGTTAGCGTACTGTGATAATTCTAAACACTGGGGAAACCTCTTGACATGAACTTTGTCCCACGCCATCCATCCATCCCTCCCTGCTTTGGAGAACCGTTTTGGTATTCCTGCTGTCAGCATCTAGATACTGTCTCTGCTCATAGCTGTAGTAAGTACATGAGTCTGAATTACACCTTCTATAAAAGAGGGGGTCGGGAAAGAGAAGTGAGAAGTCAGAAGATCCACTTTTTTGGAATCTGTGTTAAAAAATGCAAGATGATCTTGGAAAGCAAGTCTTTGTCTTAAGAGAGTATTGCATCAGGGAACACCGAACATAACCTAGTCCAAACCACTGAATTTCCTCTCACATATTATCTTACTGTTGTTACAGTAAGATACCTGCTTTCAGTAGCTTTAAAAAGCAATTGATGGAATAATTTAATTTGGAAGGGTGTCAGATAAGGTTGCTCAACCATGTCCTGTCAAATGTTAAAAATCTGCCAGGGTGATTCCATGGCATTCATACAGTCAGCATCAACATGTAGTCATTAGTTAGTGGGAGTGTTTCCTTAAGAGAACCTCTTTTGAATGAGTAAGCAATTGAAAAGATAAAGTATTTGATGTCTGAAGGCGTTCAGCTTTTCATGCCCATTATGAAGAAATCAGAAACCACTGACAGTGAAATGTCTGCTACTTTGAAAGTTCTTGGTCTGAACTAATAACTCTTATTCATATGGTAATTAATATTTCCAGAGTGTGGAGAACGTTTTCGGTTGTTGCTTTCTATTCTGTGTGGTATTTTGGATCTGCTTGATTTTCCCACCCTCCCACTCTCAGCATTTTTTTTTTCATTCTGATTCTTTACTATGTTTTCGATAGACAAGTGTTAGTAAGTTTGATGGGGAAGTCCTATGTATCCTGTACTCATGAATGTGTTTTTGTACTGCAGACCAAAATCTACACCAACGGGACAACCTAGTGCCAATGGAGTACAGTCAGAAGGTCTAGATTATGACAGATTGAAGCAGGTATGTATATAATGCTTTGAATGGGCAACTTGGATATATAAGGGCTTGTAGCTGTCCCATAGCTTGGTAGTTCCTTCTAGACCATTCCGATTTAGTGGTTGGCTCTAAATTGGGTTATGGATCAGCAATCTGTTCTCATTGCTTCTGGATTGAGTCCTGACTCAGCAGGCAGTTCTAGAATGGGTTCTGGCCTGGTGGGAGGTCCTGGAGCATGTGTGGGTTTGTTCTAGAATCTAGTTTTGTCATCTCGAGAGGATTTGTGGGACTCTTGCTACAGCTTCCATGAAATGCTGCTGCTGATAGCAGTCTAGCTGCTTTTTTTTTCCCTTCTTCTTTTTTCCTGGTCTGCTTTTATTTCTTTTCTGTGGTTCTTTCAAGTTGAAGGCACAGAAGATGAGGACCCCATCATCCCGTAAAGCACAGGTCTCCCATGTTTTACAGTGCACTCATTCCCACTGCCTCTGTTAAGATTATTTTCTCTGGAGGCAAAATCATCTCAAACTCTATGTCTACTGCGCACATGTCAAACTCTTACTTGCCCTTGCCAGAAACTGGTGGCCACACTCCCACTCTAAGGCTTCTTGCTGTTTGCCCAAGAGTCTTGTATAAGACTTGGCGAATGGGGAGACCTACCTACTCTGCAGCTTGGTACATGCTCTTACACCAGGAATGCCTTCAGGCAGGAAAAGTGTGTCCATGCATGTGTTGGTGCAGCTCATAAGGAACCCAACAAATGTAGAGCACATGACAGTAATTGCATGCTCAGTTGTGAACAGCACGGTTGTGAACAGCATGCTGACCCCAACACTGGAAAAGAAGCAGCTGGAATCCCCTAGATGACTTTTGTGCTCACTACGGATTTGGCGAGGAGATGACAGTCTCTTTTGCAGAAACAGACACTACCCCCCCACTCTGCTTGTAGACACATTATCAAATCATCAGTTAACATCACTTAGAGGAAAGGATGGAGAAAACAGCAAGCAGGAGGTGGCACCTTTGCCCTGTTGCCTTCATTCCCTCACATTCTGCTTGGCAACCGGGACCTTGATAACTTGATCTCCCTTTTTTCTTCTTTGACTATTTCCTTGGCTTGTGGTGCTTAGTTAGCTCCTTCTTTTGCATTCCACATCACATTTCACCTGTAGCAAAGCTTCCTTAGTTTAAAGAAATGTGCCAAGTTTTGGGTTTTTTTACTTTTTTTTTTATTTGGCAGTTATATTAGTGCACTATTCTGACTTTGAAATGTCACTTCTCATAAGTTCTGTGGAAATAAATTTATAGGACTTCTATGGAAATCAATTTATAGGACTTCTATGGAAAGTTTTTCTCTGTATTGTACTGCAGTAAGGATGTTTTATGGATGCCTGCCTTAGGTTTTGAGGATTAACTTGGAAGCTGAAGGGTGGGTTACGTGTTTCAGAAGGGTGAAGTGTTGTTTGGAAGAATTGGATTGGAAGAATTTTCGATTTCTCTCCACAGAAAATTACAGGTGGCAAAACTAATCTGTTCACTGATCTGTTATTTTTGTTTTGATGCCACAGGACATTTTAGACGAAATGAGGAAGGAGTTAACAAAATTAAAGGAAGAACTCATTGATGGTAGGTACTGCTGTGTTTGCTGTTGCTGTTGAGTTTTAGAGTAAGTAGCTACAGGTGCTTTATAATGTGTTTACAAAGTGTTTCCAGCCTTGGGAATTATATATTGGTAAAACTAGCTTTGTTCTTAGCCTGGTGGCAAACCATTTGTGCCAGACCTGTTCTGATTGATGTGCTTTGTTTTCTCTCCCGGGAATTTTGCTTTAGTAGAACATTTATACCAAGTAATGTCTTTTAAGAGTGGTTGGAGGGATGCTGTATTTGGGTGATTTGCAGTTGTCCTTAGTATCATGTGGTGGTAGGTAGGTTATTTTGAAATAATCCAGAGATGCCGAGGTGCGTATTTCAAAACTGGTAATATTCAGACTAGAATGGTGCTTCCAACTTTGTCTTCTCTTTGATTTGTAACATAGGAGTCAAAGAAAAGAATTCTCACAATTTTAATTTTTAACAGAAGACCTTTTCGTAAGTAGTCTTCTGTAGTTAAGAGAAAACACCGAGAAAGAGCGATCTTAAAGGTCCACCAGTCAGGAATTAAATAAAACTCTGTGTATAATTTACTGCCTTGGTGGGCTTTATTTTTTTTTTTTTTTTGCTTTGTGGAATGTACCAAAATAAAGTATTAGGGGGAAAAAAAAGTCATATTAAACTCATACGACTGCTGATAAAATATCAAAGTCATCAGCTGATATTGTAGAAAGAGCTGGCTGGTTTTGGGCTATAGAAAATGTAGTGCTTTTCCCTATATTTTGACTGTGGTATGTTGTACCTCAGCCTTTTACAACAGTGCAGTGCAAACTGTACAGGGCCCTGAGGCTGCTCTTAGAACAAACAAAAAAACTTAAGTGAGCCCAAACATATGCTCCTTGATAATCCCAGTGGTAGTGGTTGTCATTAGGTAAGGTCATAGGCTTACTGGAGATGGGAACTGAAAAATAAGATGTTAACTTTACAGGAAGGAAAAGAGTAGTGCCTGGTTGATAATTACAATTGTCTGAAGCCACATGAGACTGTCTTATTCACACTGTAAGACTGTTGGAGCAGGGTGAGCCTTCTTTAAGGGGTCAGTTGAGTATTCTGGCTTTCTGCCTTGACTGTGACTATTTGATTTGCTAATTTTCTCTCTCTTTCTCTCCAGCTATCAGGCAGGAACTGAGCAAGTCGAATACTGCATAGAAAGACTAGTACTAAGCCGATGTGACTCTTTAACTTGATATAAAACTGACTACGTTTTGTGAGCTGTTAGAAGAAAACGGAGACAGACAGACAGACACTTGGAAGGAGGGAGAAACAACCTATTCTGAAAAGCTTCAGACACATCACTCTGGTGATATGCTATTCCCCCTCCTAGTTTGCAGCTTTTTTCTGACCTTTACAGCAGGGTGGAAGAGACTCTTAAAGTTACTGTAATGATTATGCAGAAATTCCTACACCTATCAGACAAGATCACAATGCTTTGAAGTCTACTCATGTCAAGTTAAAATTGCACATGTTTCAGAATTCATGCTGGTTTAAAGGTAAACCGGTGGGAGAAAATGAACCTAACTTGAGAGATTACAAGTCAGACTTACAATTTACTAAGAAGATTACAATAAATACAATGATCCAGCGAAAACTGGTTTTAACCCCCAAAGACAGATGTATAACCCGGCACCCTGGGACAAGAACAGTGCTTGTTAGCCCCTGTGCTGAGCACCACGTGGTCCCTCGGGTGCAAAGTAAAAGGAAAGGAAAACCTGTTGGTCCAGATGATGGTCGCAGTCCTGTTGAGGTAATGATCGCAGTTGCAGTCCTGTTGGAGTTCTGGTCTTTCTCTCGATCTGCCGAGTGGTACCAGAAGTCCCAAAACCCCAAGATTATATGTGCTCAGGTTCAGGTGGGAATGTCCAGTACCTCCCCCAGGGCAGGGAGTTTCACAATGGGTGATTTAACTCTGTGAGTCATGGGATATTTTTGGAGTCTTTAATGGTCTAGGTCCTTGCAGCTGCCTATTATGCCAGTCCAGTATGGCCCATTAGCAGAGATGACCCCTCAGGCTGGGTGTGAAGGTGCTAATGCTTCCCGGAGGGGAGTAATCACAGCTGAGTCATTAGTGTAAAGACAAAGAAACACTCCTCACAGAGTTCTTTAACGCCCAGCTTGTAGCCTGAGGTGTCAGGTGTGCCCTGGGCAGCTGCTGCAAATGATCTATTATTAACAGTCCATCAGAAATGACATAGAGGGTGTAGAATACACAGTTTTGGTTATACCCACATTGTGATAAACTGGTCCCGACCCCTGTAACTAGGACAGTTGTTAAGACAAAAAACAGGGAAAAGCTTGGGAAGGCTTTTCAGAGAGGTTTTCTTTATTAATGAAGGAGCAAGTTATACTGTTGTACTTCAAATGTATCTCAGGTTTGTCTTCCTATCATATCTGATATTTCCATGAATAATTTAAGAGATCAGATGTGTAGAAGTTCGGTTCACAAAACACGGAACAATTAGAAACGCGCGCTTTTAAAGGGCAATATTTGTAAGCGAATGACCTAGACGGTGATAACATATCAAGACTTTGGAATTTTATGATAGGAAGCCTCTCTAGTTAGCCTTCATGCAATTTTATAGGAAAACAAAAAAAAGCAAATACAGTCCAGAGTTTAAAGATGTAGATGCCTTCCTACATTGTTACGATGCTTTACCAAATCTAAGACTTCTACATAATGCGAATCAGCAGTCAAATGTAAATCATTAGTATGTTGTAGATTTACAGTAGATTTTGGGGCTTTTTTTAGATTTATGCATGTGGACATTTTTGTAATGTAACACAACACAGCCAGCTTTTTAATTAAAAGAAAAATTGCATGTCACAGAGTAGCCTTTTCATTTGTAAGGCTTAATTTATGCCCAGAAAGATGTGGGATGAGGGAGGGGGAAGGTGACACATTTTTATTACTTTCTACACTTTTTCTTCATCTTACATGCATGTGTAATAATGAGGAAAACATAACTTTTATCAGTAACCATGTTAATGGAACCAGGTACTTAATCCTTTTGTATCTTTTTTCAGTTTTCTATTTGAAATTCAGTAGTACTTCCATAATGGTTCTGAAACTCCCAGGTGAACCAAACTCATTTCTCAGTGAGAGAAAAAATGTGTAGGCATCTGAATTACTGAGGATGCCCCTGTGTAAGTGCGTTGTCCTTTACCTTTTTACCATGACCTTCTGCTTCACTCTTTTCTGAGACTCCTTTTTTGATTGTTTAATGAACAGAACAGCAGTTACCTTAGAACAACAGAACATCAGGTCACAGTAAATGTCCCCTTCTCCTCCTAATTTATCTGCCATCCTCCTTTCCAAAAACAATCAAAACCAACAAAACCCCCCACAGCTCCACACAACCCAAACCCAGAAAAACAGCAATGCCATTGGTTTTGTTCAACAATTTGAGAATCATTTTTAGGGGAGGTGATACTTTTCTGTTTCCCAGGGTTTTCAGATCTTATGCATTAAATTTTTTTTTTTTTTTTTTTTTTTAATGTGGTACAATTCAGTGGAATAGAAATTCTTTCAATTGGATCTGTAGTGCTTTGGATAAAGAACATGGATCAAAATCTTTCCTTTCCCTTTGCACGGTCAATTTTTCCAAGCTGTAACAGTGCCATGTTTGCTTTGGGATCTGTGCTGATCAAAAAGAAAAGTTTACTTACAACTTTTGGAGAGATTAGCGTTTCAGCTTACGTGTATGTGCAGCTTCATTCGTAGGACAAATGCTTTCCATAACATGTCTCGAGTGCTGAACACCAAAGCAAAACAGCACTTAGCAGCTTTGGAAAGGCTTCAGTAGGAAATTTTTCACCTGTTCAAACATTGCCTATTTCTAGAGGTTCAAATTCTAAGAGTTGACAACAGTGGAAATATTACCTAACTCCATTTGTTAATTTTTTTTTTAAATAAAGAGAAGCAACAACATTTTTCTGCATGCATTTATTGGAGGCATTAAAAAAAAAATCCATAGTAAGCTTGTCAAGTACTGTTTTTCTCAAAACAAGAGGAGGCATTTTCATCTTTGTTGATGTAACTTTTTGTTTTACATGGACTTTTTGAGCATTAAGAATGTTTACCCTTGTCAGAAATCACGTTTGATTTGTTTCTAGGAGAGTTCAGGAGTAGCATAGTGGAATAGTGAATGGGTACAAGTGGTCCAAAATTAAAAGCTGAACTACTAGATTGTGCAAGGAACTGGCTTATGCACTAAACGTTTTGTGCCTTGGTCTACAATTAACATGATTTCTGTTTAAAAGAAAAAGGAACAGATGTTGTCTTTTGTGCTGCTTCTACATACATACTTTCTGTAATCCCAAACTGCAGAATTGGTTCTTTCCAGGAAATCGGATTGAATTAAAGATTACTGTAGACATTTCCTGACCTACTGACAGTTGCACCGTTTCCAGAGATTTCAGTATTGAAAATGAACTGCAGAAGCTAAGATTATTTTGCTTACTGGTGACTAAGTTCTTTAAAAACCATATTGTGGTGGTTCTGTGCTTTTGTACAACGGATGTCTTAAGCTGAGGGCAGTTTAAGGGATCCTTTCTAATGCCAGGAGGGCGTTGCTTTCCTCAACACTGTGATCTGACCTGTGATAAACCTGCACTACAGACAAGTGGCTACCAAGTCAACTGCAAACCAACTGAATGTAAAAATCTTAGTGCTGGTGCTGAAATCTCTTCAGATAGTTCATAATGATTTCCAGTTCATTGTTTTAAAGTTATCAAGCATCAAGTGTCAATCAAAGACTGAAGCTGATCACTAATGAATGTTGACTTTTCATGCATTTAGGTTTACCTTCTTTTTAGTTTCTCAGTTCATTCTCTGCTATTTTTATCATATTGTGTCATTTTAAATTTCTTACATGCTAACGTTTTGTTTGAGCGAATGAAATAAAATTGCAATATATACACGTTGCCACCATTTATTTCTGGAATGTCATAGAGACTCTCTGAGGTTTACTGCTCAAATTCCCAAAATTTTTGATGACCATGGTCATTCCTTACCCCTTGATTCCACCTCTCCTTTCTGTTTCTCCATCAGAAGATTCAACAGAGATCAGTGAAGACTTACCTTATAAGGAATGTAATTGCAGGGACTGTGTAACATTCATGAATGGTAACTGCTGTACATAAATTAAAATTAATTTTAAATGTATGATGTGATTTACATTCTCACACAATATATATTTTGATCTCTGTATCCACAGAGAACTTGGAAGGGAGGGAGAGAGGAAGACCAGGGGGAAAATACTTGCAAACAGTCCACCTTTTTCTCTTACTGCTTTTATGTTCGTGACTTATTTTCAATAGTGGTAATAAAGCAAACTTACCATGGCAGATCAATAGAGCTTTCTGTACGCTAAGGACAGTTTTGCTCAATTTATCTTATACCAGAATATTGAGCATAGCTGTTTAAATGTCCTCGACTTGACATCCTGAAGTTGTACTTCTCTGCTGTTGTTGTTTGGCAAACTGTTGGTCCCAGTGCCAAGTTTGGCACCAACCCTAATGAGTTATAAAGGTTTTTTTTTTTAAATAAAATTATCACTAGATTCTAAAATGGTCTGCTGTTATTGGGGCAGTGTTTAGGCAACAAGTGTAAACATTCCTGATTAAAATGTCTGAACAGTGTTACCAAATCTGTCCATTGGTGTCAAGAGATGGATGGTATCTACTTTTTAAAGTTGTGTATTACAAAAGCAGGAAGATGGTCTGTGGTTGATCAAACTGATGATTGTCAGCACTTTGCATGGACTCTTCTGAAAATGTTTAACTGGGCTCAGTTCCAGTGCTAAATATTACTTGCCAGCACGTTCTTACATCTAGTCATACAAAGCCTGCAAAATCAAGAGAAGATTTCCTCTATTTTCAGTAGGTGAACAAGACTGGAAGCAAGAAAAAAATTTTCCCAAACCAACTTTTTACCAAAAAGTCACAGTTCTTTTTGGGGCTGTAAATTTTCTTGACACTGTAGGCTACTGCTGGGCAGGGAGTGATAGAGAGCGGGTGACAAGGGAACGAGAGTCTGATTTTGGTGGAACTGGGGCCAGTGCGAAGTTCTTGAAGAACAGGCTAAAGATCACTTAAATTGTTTGTCTTAAGGGGTTATTTTTGGGTATGAGGATTATTTAATGCTCATTTACATGCTATCTAGGAGAGTCTTAACGAAGGGAGAAGCAGGATGTTAAATCAGCTGTCACCATATAAATTTACGTATTCAAAACAGCACATCTTTAAGTCGATGTATGTGAAAGCCTGACAGGAGTTAAGTATTTATTTCAAAACTTTAAAGACTATTGAAATTGATATGTCAGGAGATATATTCAAGTCAATTAGGTTTATAATAATAATAATGATAGACATGTAATACAAATTGGTGTAATTGTCCAAGATATGGAAGAATAGGTATAGTTCTAGATGTTGGGAAAGCTCAGCCAAACCTTATAATCACAGCACTGGTATCTGCATGTTGCGTTGTAATCAGTATCTTAATTCATTGCACAGAAGGTTCTTTGGGTAGTTGGTTGTCACAGTGATGCTGAAATTCAAGGAGCTTGAAAATTACCTCCATTTTATAAATGGATCCCAGGTAAACACTGTTATATAAATGCATTGTCTAACATTTG